TCTGCGAGCCAGGCGAGGATGCTCACGGCGGTTGTGTCTCGCCGCAGCCCCGAGCAGAGATGCTGTGAGCCAGGTCCCGTTGCACCGCAAGATTTTGGTCGTTTAACCAAAATTTTGAGAGATATTTTTATCTGCCCTCTGATTTCTGGGGAGGTGTCTGAGCATGCGCTTCCCTGCTGCTGAGGCTTTGTATATGGAAACATAGAGACAGCTATAGGTGATATAGGTAGAGATGATATTGATACAGATCATATAGATAGGTATAGTTGTATAGCTATAGGCATTGATGATATAGATTATATAGATAGATGTAGATGTAAAAGTAGATATAGATGGTATAGATATGGATATAGCTATAGCTATATAGCTAATATGTAGCTATATGTAGCTATATATAGCTGATAGCTATATATCTATATCTATATCTAGATATAAAAGGACTTTGTAAGAGGCACAGAAAAGAGGGATTCACCTCCTTTCAGACTGAGGGATTGAAGGACCAAAACAGCAAGTCCTTGGGTAGCTCAACATTTAGAGCTGGATAAAGGACTGAAAAAGGCTTTAGGCTCCATCTTACATATTCTTGCATCTTCCCGGTGTAAACCCAATGGATCCACTTGGGTTTGATTTGGGTGGATTTGTTGGCTCTCCCTGTGAATGTGCCCAAAACTGCGCTGAGTAGTTCCCGTATCACTGCTGCTCCGAGCCGTCCCTTCTCCCAGGCTTAGCCAGGGGTTCACATATTGAGAGCAAAATCCAATATTTTTGGGGAAAAAAAATCATATCCGTAAGACTTTCCTACTTTAGTGGGAAATAAATCCAACCGTTAATTACATAGCCTGTGCTGCTGCCAGCTTGTAGCCCCAAAGTACCATTTCTAGGCTGCTACAAATAGTTGAGTCCTTGAGGTTGCTCCTATAAATCATATTTTGGATTTAACCCAAGCTGGCACCCACTTCCAGATAAAGACACACACAAAGAAAAAGTTAATTCAGAGCTTTGCTGAGTAACCCTCTCATGTTTCAGACTGTCAGCTTTTTTTCTCCGAAATAGCCATTCAGCCCCAAATCCACAAATCAAACTCCCAAAAGATCTGCCCCAGAAATCCCCTTGGGATGGCCTGAGGGTGTCCAGCCCGTGTGTCATTTTTTATGAGCCTCATTAGGTGATTTTCAGCAAAAAGCTCTTTTGCCCAAGGATGTTCATCCGTCTGTAGCCCCTTCTCATAGTCGTTGGGTAAAGAGACACTTCTTTTACCTGCGGTGAGCTGATGGCCCTGGTTCTCCTCTGTCCGTAGCCCAAAAAGGAGTTTTTTCGGTCTTTATGGTTCACAAAGCGTCTGGCCCCAATGGGTCCTGGGGACCCTGACCGCTGTCAGCTCCTCCAGCTGCTTTGCAGGTGGGGAGGGATGTGCCCACCTCCGCAGGGGTGTTGCGCTGCGGTGATTGGGGTCCTCGGGGTGGTTTTGGGGTGCCTGGTGAAGTTTGGCAGAGCTGGAGGAGGTGAGACCCATGGTTGGCATCTCGGCTCCTTGCAGGCGGCCAGCGAGTGCGGGTCCGGCAGCTCGTCCTGCAGCCCTGAGTGGAGCAGCCAGCTGGAATTTGGCACCAATCCTGCGGGTAAGGTCCTCCCCATCTCATCCCAGTGTCCTGCAGCCTCGCTGGGCTCCGGTGTGGGGTGGAAAGCAGTGGGGGACACCGCAGTCCTGGAGCAGAGCATCGTAGAGGACAAAGGGAGCCTTGTCCTTCTCTCCCCACCCCGCTGTTGCAGAGAGATGAGCTCCCCCCAGGCTCATAAACCCTCCAGCACCTCCTTGGCTGGATGCTCAGTGAGTTCAGGCTTCTCCCACCGCCTGATTTCATCGAGACGGTTGCTCTTACGAGCTGAGAAACCTGACTGCAGCCGCTCGGGGCTCCGGTGGCTTCGTCCCCATCAAGGGTTCATCCGTCGCCGTCCCTTGGCTTGGCTTTGCCCGCTGTGGTGCTAAGCATCGCTGAGCCTCACTGGGCATCGCTGTCCCGGGTTCCCTTTCCCTCCCCACATCCCCTCTGCAGCTGCTGAATTTTTTTTTCCATTACTGCAGTTATCCCCACCCTCACCAAATCCACCTGTTTTTTTCCCCAGAAGGCAGAAACTTAAATCTCATTTTCCAATGGGGCATAAAACCTAAAATGTGTCCAGAAGTTTCACTCCTCATTGCCTTCTCCAGGGGAAGGTCTCATCCCCTCCCCAGGGTGGGAGCTAGGAGCGGGTCCTGGGTCACTCTGGCCATGTGGGGGATCAGGGGGTCCTGAGCAAGGAGCCATCCCCGGCACATGGTCCCCAACCCCAGCAGAATCATCATCCCCTTGCTCTCCGCAGATCACCTCCTGGCCGACGACGCGGCGGAGGACCGCAACCTCCACTCGCTCTCCTCCATCGTGGAGAGCATCGCCGTGGAGGACGTGGCCGTGACGTTCCAGGAGGAGCGGGTTCAAAACTGAGCCGGCGCAAACCCTCTTCGAGCTGGTAACAGGGTGGGAGGAAGATGTCGGAAGGGTTCAGCCGCTGGAAATTGTATTTACCCCTTCTGGCGTCGTGGACTGCATGGCTGAAATCACTCCCCTCCTTTCCCACTCCTCGCGAAAAGCTCCTGCCCGACCAGCTGAAAAAAAAAAAGAATGGGGAGAGGGGGGATGTCGGCAACGCCGCGGTCCCAC